TGTGTGTGTGTGTGTGTGTGTGTGTGTGTGTGTGTGTGTGTGTGTGTACACAGTCAGGGTTAGCCTCTGGGTTTCACACTCCCCTTTGATATTCCCCATCTCCCTGAGGATTCATTCTCACTGTGACACACACACATACACACACACACACACTGGATCAGCATCTCTAAATGTGTGTTTTGGGCCGTTTCACTGGTCTGAAGCTGTAGAGAACAGGAACTACCCCTTCAGGACTGAGAATTTATCAATTTTTCTTATCTAACAATTGGGGATTTGAAGGCAAATGGTTAGTGAAACTGTAAAAGGAGTCCAGATATGGAAGAGTTTTACCTTCGGGCGCGTTGAGGTGCATCGTTTCCATGGGACCGATAAAGGCGTAACGCATTCCCAGCCCCTCTGACATCACCAGGTCGATGTCCTTCACCGAGATGACGCCGTCCTGACAGAGTAACACAGAAGAAAAAATGAAAAGGAAGACACACAAAGGCTGTGCGTGCGGATCATGAGACACGTTCCCAAGAAAAAGGTTACTTTAGCAAGTTCCTGAAATTCATTTGGAATTAAATCAGTTACAGAAACACACAGATAAAGAAATAAGGGGTTTCAAATGTAGATAAACTAATTCACCTCACATGTGGAGTTGTTGTCTACAGCTAATATTATTTATTCCTCTTAGAGTCAGATTTTTACCATATTATTAGACTGATCCAGTACAAGTGAGCATTGTGGAACTATTTTAACATAATATTATGTAAAGAATTTATTCTGTCGAAATCGGTCGGCGTGGTGTTTTTTTCACTTCTTTCCCATAAATTTTCTCAGTTCTCGGGAGGATGCTGCTAACAAAAAGCACCGACTTTCCACCCCATAACACGATCAACCCCGAATTCCTTTGATCCAAATCGGACGACTCCCACCATCTAGAGTTTCCCCAAATCAGGCCGCTCTGCATTCAGGATTATGCGCGGGGAGGAGAGGGATGGGGGGAGTGACAGAAGGAGGGGTTCAGGTATCTGAGGGTTTGAGACGCCCGTTGGCCGACCGCAGAGAAAACAGATACAGAGAGCAGGGACAGGGTCGCCTTTGTCCCGACTCCCGCCTCCAACAATGGGGCCGTTATCTGAGCGAAGTGGGGTGGTGGGCGGGGTCCCCCCCTCCGCCGTAATCACCGGGGGTAACGGGGCGCTTTCTCAGCCGCTCTGCTTTCCGAACGCTGGCCTCCACTCAAGGAGCGTTTCTGAGTCTCTGTGCATCCGAAGGGGCCTGTTACGTAAGAGGGATCAAAGGCCTCCATTTGCTTCCTGTTTGAGCCAAATTTCATTTAATTTTCCTTTAATTTATTTTGAAACATGATATGATTTAACAGTGTCTACATTAAATGCTTCATAAACATGCATCATGTTTAAAAAAGGAGTCAGATGAATCATAAGGTTATTAAGCCCTACCCCTCAGTTACATGTGTCAATTATTTACAGTAAGATACCAACTTTTTATATATTACTCATTTTTTGTATTCATCAAAAATACTTTTCTTATATTCTTTTTGGAATTGTTGGATGTTTTTACCTTGTTTAATGTTTTCAGGCAAGCTGTTCCAGGGCTTCACTCCGCTAATTGATAAACTAAAAGCTTTTTTTGTTGTTGTTCTAACATATTTGGTTTTGAAATTTAATTTTCCTCTTAGATTATATTTTCCATCTCTATCAGAAAACACATCCAAACAAACAACAAATCCAAATCTAATAGGTCTCTTAAATGTTGCAGACTGAGAGCTGAGCTAAAAACATAATTTATCCTAAAGTAGTTTCATGGTTTGAGGAATGAAGCAAGTAAGTAAACCTTTAGAGAGGTGGCCCTTCTGCAAATACAGGTAAAAACCTTTGTGAATGCGAACATTTGAGGGGCAAAATTTTAGGATTATGGAAAATTGACTGGAACTCGGGTGAACCCATAAATGCATCTCATCAGTTTGGTAAAGACCGTCTTTCCATGACTCAGCAGTAATTGAATAAAACTTGGAAATAGACCTGCATAAGGTGTGTAATAGTGGAAAATAAAAAGCTGCTACTCTGCTCATTTCTAAAGCTATGATGTTTTTATAGTTTCTCATGAAACATTTGGGCTTAGGGAGACCAGGCGTGTTCAGAAAAGCTTCACCAGAGCGAGGTCAGAGCCGTTAACCTGGCCTCTGCGAGCTCAGATATTCTGGATTTACCTGAAAGCCTTTGACAAGAGAAATAGTGGAAAAGATCCTTCCTGTCCGACAGGTTTGTCACGCTCAAAACCCACTGAAAAAGAGTCTGACTGAAAGATTGGACTTTTATGAATCAAAACCAAGGCGCGTCAAAACACAAATTGACAGAAAAGGCACATTTATTGTTCTGTGTTCTGGGATTTTAGTGGAATAACAACATCTCTAAGTTAAATCAGCTGTTCTCCTGCAAACTAAAAATAAAAAAATAAAAAAGTAAAGACGGCTTTCCCATAAGGAATTACGGATTCTGTGTGAAGAGCCTGTAAGACCATTGTCAAAATATGACTTTAATTTTCTTCTCTTTAATTGTCTTCAAGCAGTGAATGAATAATTAAATGTTAATTGAACAGAAACAGCACAAGAGAGACAGAAATCCAAAAGCAAAGTCTGTAGACGAGTAAAAGAGCATCGCAATACAGACGTGTGAGCACCACAGAAGAAGAAGAAAGAAGAAGAAGAAGAAGAAAGCTGAAAGCTGACGAAGTGTTGGCAAAAACGGCTAACAGAGTTGTAGATTTAACCTCAGGTTGTGTGTTTATTGCTCAATCGGTTGTCTTTAGAGCCCGCCTAGAGTGTGGGAGTTTTCTTTAAATGTCCTCGTGATTCACCCTGCTGGGGCGTCTTCGGGAGAAAAAGTCGGGCACGTTAGCACGGACGTGGCATTTTTGTCAGCTGGGACCTAAGAGCTCCCCCCGGGGTTAATTCTCACAGAGTGGTGATCCACACACACCAGCACGGAGAGACCAGCCGGAGCTGCCACCGCCGGGTGTGAAATCACAGATATCACACAGTGGAAGCGAGTATCTGCAGTCTGCAGGAGCCTCGGTTGGATGTCCAACTCCTCCCACATCCAAGTCGGCCATAATTTCCCTCTGGGATTATTAAAGTATTTCTGATTCTGATTCTGATTTTGATTAGCTTTCTCAGGTGGAAACTAAACTTTACTGTCTATACGAAATCGCAACATAAAC